GTGCCACGTCCCTGTGCCCCCCCCCTCCGACCCCGTGCCCCTGCTGTGTCCCCCATGTCCCTGTGCCCCCCACTCACCCAAAAAGAAGCAGATGACCTCAGAGAGGCTGCAGAGCAGCATGCTGGGTGCCACCCGCGCTAGCACTCGCCCGATGTGCTGCTCCCGCGTCTCGCATGGTTCTCGCTGCGACTGCTGCTGGCCGGGGTGGTGAGGAGGGGGCACCCGCCGTGGGTGGCCCCCACCCCGGGGACCCCGCACAGGCACCCATCGCCCCTGCGCCCCACGGGGACGTCCCCACTCAAGGGTGCCCACCTGCCCCACGGGAAGACCCTTGCCCAAAGGTACCCCCCCCCCCAAGGGCCACATTCCCCGTGGGAATCCCTGCACCCAAAGGTGCCTCTGTGCCCTACGGGGACCCTGTCCTCAGAGTGTCCCCGTGCCCACCTGCCCCATGGGGACCCCTGTACCTGCCGGCTGCCCCCCCGCTGCCGTGCCCACTGACCTGGTACTCCTGCACGAAGATGAAGATGTTGTCCGCGCCCACGGCGAGGACGAGGAAGGGCACGACCTCAAGGATGACAAGGGACGAAGGCAACCCCAGCAGCGCCAGGAACCCCATGGAGGCGAAAACGGCACCCAGCACCACGACGATACCCCCCAGCGCCAACGTCACCTTCGATTCCACCTGCAACGGGGTTGGGAGGGGGGGGAAACAACCACCCGCTCAGCACCCGGCGGGGGACCCTAGGGTGCTGGCATCACCCCGACACCCACCCTCTGCCCCCGGCGTGTACCAGGACGCGGCGCCAGGCCGTGTACTCGCCCAGCGCCAGGGCGATGTAGGCGAAGACCACGAGGTAGCTGATGGCGAAGACGGGGATGTCCTCCCCCGTGGTGCGGTTGATCTCATCCTCCAGCGAGCGCTGGCAGAAAAGAGATGGGTCAGGGGGTGCTGGGCACCCTGGGGTGACCCCGTCCCCCCCAAAACCCAGCCAGCAGTTGCTTCACCTCAGCCATGAAGACAACGGAGAGGTTGGGGCCGTGGGCGCGCTGGAAGTTGCCCACCACCTCAAGGAAGCGGCGCTCCCAGCTCAGCACCCACTCGTGGCGGGGATCGTCGTGGGGGAAGTTGTTGAGGGAGTAGGTGACGATCAACGCCTCCGCCTCCGTGTACTCTGAGCCTGCGGGGATGGCGGGTGACGTGACATCCCCCTGGGTGACATCCCACCCGCCGTGCCCACCCGTCCCGGCGATGCCCGGCACTTACCGGGGTAGCCGCCGAAGGCGATGTAGGGGAAGACGGGGCCGCCGTATTCGGCCATGCAGCTCAGCTCCAGCGCCGTGATGTCCTTGAAGGAGAGCGGAGAGCTGGTGGGGACACGGCGCCCGGTGAGCAGGCGGCTGCGCCCGCCCCGGTGCCCCCCC